GCCCTCATACCCGACAGTAGCTTCTACCTTGACGCTGTGGGCGGGCTTGCCTATCGTGATGACCCAACCGAGCTATATTACCCGGAACATCTTTCTGTAGGTTCTACTATGCCATGCAGGTCGATTGGAGAACGATCAGACTAAACGCAGCTACTCAATGTCTCAGGGCGAAGTCGTACTGCTGACTGCGAGGGGTGTGACAGCAGTAAGGTGTTTTCCTCGGACAACCAGTATCTGCAGCGATGCTGCCTTCTCACAAGGAAGGAAGGGTTAGAAAAGGTCAACCCTAAAAATGTCACACATCATCTTATCCCACGGATCTCCGTCTCCGGTCTTAGTACCGCACGTCCGTTTCTCATCGTCTCACTGTTGTAAAAAAGACGCAATGCCACACTAGCTGCTGATCAAAATCGGTCCATACATCTTCTATTCTTCCAGGATCATGGGTCTCATTCTACCATTATGAAATCAAGTTACTCCGATTCTCCTTGATGAATCCATCGTACCCATCAAATCGGTCTCAGTACCGGACGTCCGTTTCTCATCCTCTCACTGTTGTAAAAACTTAACCGGTTAAGGGAATAAATAGTACTCCTCTGACTCAGACTGTAAACGCGTATAAGAGGATTTTGAAAGTAAAAGTAGACCCACCGAGCCTTTTGGAACTAAGGTGTTTTTGGAAATGCCTATGTATATACTGTAAATTTAATATCAATACTGGTACTTGAACGAGGTCGATTTGCTAAACCGATTGATAGAATAATTTTTATTGTCGTCCTAAAATTCAGTGTTTTCTCTTTTATAAATCTTATTTGCCGTTATTATTACTGCTATCACTATCGTGAAGCCATCCATCTGCTGAATGTACACCCGCTTATATTTTAAAATCATATGACACTGGACCATAGATTATTTTTTCTATCTCTCACACACGTTTACTTATCTACAATCTGATCGATAAAAGATTTCAATGAAAACAAAGAATTCTTGACGTATCCTACTAATTTTCATCATACACGTGTGTGTGTGTGTGTGTGTGGATTTTGCTACATCCATTCTCGTTTTTGAATGCCACAAAGTATTTCTCGATGATTGGTGCAAAAATTGGCTCATCGACTTCCATAATTAGTATTTTTAATATTGACAAACAAGGAGTAATTAAAATCGATATTGTGCAGATTTCAATTTATCTTTGATTGTTCCAACACTGGTATTCATATCATTCATTATGTTTTATTTTTTCAAGTAAGATTTAGGATTTATATGCTCGATACGTTTTTCTTATATTATTATTTTAGGAAAATTCTGAGTAAATAAATAAGATTATTGACCCTTATTTTAAATCCATTCATTCTTGTGTGTGGATTAATCATATCATCTCTTATAATTTGGGCCAGTGGTTACGACAGTCAAACGTAACTTTTCTTTATCATATAGGGAGAAATTGTTATAGTGATCCCAATAAATAATAAAAGTTGTTTGAAACATTCTCTGCGTGACCGGCCTCAAGCAGTTGTACCTTGGTTTCTGAGACCACGCTCCCAGGTCGCTAACTTGATTTGATTTTCAGGTTCGTCAAGAAGCACCCTTCGACGGTGTGGGCATCCGAGAAGTGATGTCCGCCTTCATACTCGTAACAGCACACGAGACCGAATTGGTCACAGTCAAATTCTTCCCACACCTCCTAATAACTCTCTTATCTCCACAATTAACCATTCTTACGTTGCTTTATCACCTCGCGCTGCCGATGCAGCCGATTCGATTACACGATAAGTTATTCCTGGTCTCCTGAATCCACTCTCTAAACCACACGTTGGAGCTTTCAATGCTCGGACCTTGTTCTAAATAAGGACAAGAAGCTTCCTTAGCTAGGACTCTAGAGTCTTATGCCATCTATGTATGTTGCGTATCTGAGACCAGTCATTCATTTGACCTCACCTTTCCAATACAAGAAACTGTCGCGACATAGGCTTTGTGTATCTGGGAGTCCCACTGCTACTATCCGTCGCCTCGCTGGTGTAGATATAGCACTGAATTTTAAAATAGGACTAACTCTCTAATATCGAATTCCAATAAACAGTCGCTTGTACGCTGTCCGACTGAACGGGACAGTAAGAATTCGAAAAGATAGGGACACTCGCCGTTGCCTCTTCATTGTCTCTGCCTACGCTCTGACTGATTGCAGTCCAGGTGTGGTAAAACGTGAATTTTACAGAAAGCTTTCCAACCTTCTTCAAAAGGCCAAGCGTTTGTATGTAGTAGTAGTGGCTGGTGCCTTCAATGCTCACGTAGCGCGGCTAATTGGATAGATGATGACCAGAACAAAGGCACACGTTCAGACATCCCACAAAAGTGGTATTCCTCGACCTTATGGCGGCATTTAACTGTCGATCTTGAGGTTTTATGGCAGTCTGTCATTAAAAGGTGTACCAAAGAAATACACTAACCTTATACAAGATCTCTACTCTACCACTACAGGTCGAATTAAAGCTCATAGCGAACTTTCATCCGAACTGATTACTTCAAGTAGTGTTCGTGAAGGTTGTCCACTCTCCCCATTCTTATTCAACTCTGTCATAGATACGTTTTTAGAGATGACACTATCTTCGTGTGAATTGTCTGGAGCCGAACTTTGAGCGGAGATTCGCTTGTTGAATTATAATATGCCGATGACGTAGTTCAACCTGGTAAAAACACACTGACAAAATGCTGTCTTTCTGACCACCCTAAGCAATAATGCAAACTTGTTCAGGATGCGGTTTTCCCCCTTGAAATGCAAGATGCTGCTTCAGGATTGCTTGCATCGGTACCTGAACTAGTGATAGGAAGTGAAGTAGTCGAACGTGTAGACCGCTTCACCTAACTTGGGAGTCTCATTAGTGCTGATGGCCTGTTGACTGGCGAAATCTCGGCATGGACACAGAAAGCTCGATTGGCTTTTGCCAACTTGCGTCATTTATGGCGTAAGCGAGACATCCGTTCGTTAACCGAAGGACGGGTTTGCTGTGCAGCACTTTTATTCGTCCTAATACACAAGTGTGAAAGATGGTCACCAAAAACAGTGGATATTCGTAGACTACTCGTATTCGACCATAGATTTCCTCGAAACATCACTCGTGTATCCTGGGACAATTAAGTGTGTTTTGATTGGGTTGGAGAAGTCTACTAGGTAAGGATGGCAAATCAGTTGAGGCGTTTGTGATTTGTGTTTCGAATGCCCAATCACCGACTGCCTCAGAAAGCGATGATGCCTGGTGTAGGGGTAAGCTGCAAGAAAACTAGGGGCGGCCAAACCAAAACAAGTTACAGATCCATGAAGCCATTGAAAGCTGGTGTAAACTGTGTAATTGGAGTCCGCCAGACAATTGTAACTGATTGTTAGAGACTTTGAATGACATGGCTCAAAGTCGTTTGCAATGGTGCGGATGCATCCATGGTTTGTCTTCTCTCAAAATTTAATCTTATGAACTCCCCATCACCTTTATCTTTCTCTTGTTAAGTTTATTTTACTGTGATATATTTCCTGAATCATATCTTTGATCTCTAAACTTTTCGACTACTGCTGATACTGCTACAACCTCTACTACTGTGGGATTTGCATTGACAATTCCATT